ACACACACACACACACACACACACACACACACACACACACACACATACACACACCAATACTAGACTATATTCATGTATTCACATGGTGCACTTGATGATCTATCGCCATTTAGCAAATGACATGAACCAGGATGTATGATCCCCTTCTCTGGGACTTGCAGGCATGGGACCATGTTAGAATTAAGTATCTGGAAACTCAAAGAAATCTTGGGGTTTGCTGTATGGAGTAGGAGTTTCTGAATGTAAAATAACCCTCCTAAAGTTTTGTTTCACATCTCTCCCAAGGTGTGTCTGACAGATTTTTACCTAATCCAGAACATATAAATGAAATGCACCAGTTTGGCAGTCAGCGAGTTCTCTTGCTGCTTTGGATTTGTTGAGGTAAGTATATTAAAAGTAAGGACAAAACATCTTGAAACATATCAAATACTCTGGTTCTATAGCCAATACTATATAATAACTATAGTCTACAATAAATGAAACTCATTGCTACTACAACAAATGTATTGGAAAACCATGAAACAGTATTAAAGTCTTCTCATGTTAATAACAGATTAGCATATTTGATATGCTAATATCAAATATTAGCCTGATGGAATACAGAATGAATGCAGGTCAACAAAGGTTTGCATTACCCTTGCAGGTGGTTTGCAGGTTGCAATACATTCACTGAGCAGAACATCACCCCTCACACTTTATACATGACTATTTAGTTTATGAACATAAAACAACATAAAATACTGCAAAATAACATGAAAACTAATAAAATTAGAAATGAAAGGGGGGCAGATATAACAAATTCCAAAACTGACAAATCTAGAAGAAATGGGTCAATTCCTTGAAACATGATATGCCAAAATTAAATCAAGAATTTACAAACAATTTAAATAGATCTATAAAAACATTAAGATTGAATCAGTTATAAAAAAAATCTCTTGTAAACAAAGATGAGAACTAGATGAATTTACTACTGAATTCTACCAAAACTTTGAGAAATACCATGCACCAATGCTTCACAACCTTTTCTCAAAATTGAAAGAGAAGGAACTTTCCTAGATGTGGTCTGCATAGCCAGGGTTACTCTGACACCAAAACTAGAAAAGCATATCTCAAAAAAGAAACCCAAAAATCAATTTCTCTACTGAACACTGATGGAAAATTTCCCAATGTATTTCTTGTAAATCATATTCAAGAATACCTTTGTGGGAGGTAGAGGCAGGAGGACATGGAATTTAAGCCAG